TACGCGCACAGAGCGAGAGTATATATTACTGTGATTGTAGGATATTAATTGTTGCACAAATAAACTTTGCACGTGGGTTTTGAGCCGCGGCTAAGGCGTGTGTTCTGAAAGCCCGGCTTGAAATGAAATGTCTCGTTCGGCCTTGGCAGTTGTTTGTTTATTTCATTATTTTGGAATCCCGGCTAACCATAAATCAAACCCGCAAGTTTTAAAACGCGCCGCATTGCGCCGTGCGAGCGATATTAGCGCGTATAATGTCTTAAGTATGTTTAATTGCGGTGTCATTTTTCCATCCACTGCTGGATGAAGGTCACGATAAGAATTTAAAACTGCGAAAATCAGACGAGTGTTTAGAATTGTAATTCTTACTATGGTCATATACTGTAAGGCCAACCCTCGGATCGAGGATGGCTGAATAGAAGACTTATCGATACCCAATATGTATTAATCACACGTTGTAGGTGGGTGTGTGTGTGCGTGCGTGTGTGCGTGAGTGTGTGTGTGTGTGAGTATGTGTGAGTGTGTGCGTGAGTATGTAGTGTAGCGGTTAGCGCGCTGCGCTATGAACCCGGCGACACGGGTTCGATTCCCGCTCACGGCCAACACCGGTGACGATTATCTGAACCGGTCCCGGGCCTCCCCTAGGTCGACTCAGCCTCAAATTAGTACCTGCTGCGGACGGGCGGGGTGCTGGCCACCCACCCCCTCGTGTGCCGTGCCGGCCTTCATAGGTGCTCGCTAACAGCACTTGCCCCTACAGTCTGTTAAGACTATATGGGGGATCTTTGTTGTGCGTTACGAACCTGGCGACCAGAGTTCGATTCCCGCTCACGGCCAACACCAGTGACGATGATCTGAACTCCCCTAGGTTGATTCAACCTTAAAATAATTACCTGTTGTGATGGGAAGACAAAGGCGGCCTGGAGTGTTACCCGCTACGTCCTCGTGTGCAGTGGCGGCTTTCATAGGTGCTGCTTCCTAGCAGCACTTGCCCCAACATCCTGCTAAAGGCTATACGGGGGGGGGGATCTTTATCTTTGTGTATATGTATTCGTGTATGTGTTTGAGAATATGTGTGCATACGAGTTGTCTGCGTACATGAACACACACACGCACGTAAGATACATTTTTGACAGTCAATTATCAATCAACTGCTGTGTATATGCGTATCGGTATTAATATTTAGACGTGAGCACATTTTTACATCAGTAGCCAATACAGTATAGTTGCGTGAGTAAATGTGTGTATGTGTCTACGTGAATTGGGGAGCGGTAGCGTAGTAGCGCTGCGCTCGGAAAGCGGCAACGCGAGTTCAATTCCCGCTCACGGCCAACACCGGTGGCGATTATCCGAACCGGCCATGGGCCTCCCCTAGGTCGACTCAGCCTCAAATGAGTACCTGGTGCGGTGTGTAAACGTCGTCACTCGGGCGTAGTGCTGACCACCCGCTCGGCACGTGTGCCCCCAAAGAGTCTAGCGACGGCTATGACTTGGGATCTTTGTGTTTGCATGTGCGCGCGGATAAAGCGAGAGTCGAGAAAGAGAGAGAGAGAGTAACGACAGAGTGTAAAGAGAGAGAGAGAGACTAAAGAGACTTTTGACTTTGAAACAACTTTTATTGCCGCTAGCAGCAAGAGCACTGGAGGCGATTCCGATATGAAACACACAAAGTCACCAGCAAACAAGAGAGAATAAGGTCTCTAAGGGGCCGAATATTCAATACGCGGTGGGACCTGAACCGTGACATTTCACGGCCGCGCTGTAGCTCGGTGCCACCACCAATAACAACAACAATAACAACAACAATAACAACAACAATAACAACAACAATAATACTCATAGCAGCAGCGGTGGCGGCGGCGGTGGCGATGTGAGAGAATCTAATAACTCTCTCTTGACTCTCTCGCTTTAGACGAATAACTCGCACCGCCAGGGCACTCGTGCGTGACCTCTCGGGCGAGAACGTCTCTCATAATGACCGTGTAATTGTTCTCAGAAGGCGGCGCGTGTACGTGCGTAACCGCACACGTGTGCGAGTGCTGTGTGCTGTGTACGTGCGCGTCACACACGTGTGTGTGTGTGTGCTGTGTACGTGCGTGCGTGCAACACGTGTGTGTGTGTGTGCTGTGTACATGCGTGCTATACACGTGTGTGTGTGTGTGCTGTGTACGTGCGTGCGTGCAACACGTGTGTGTGTGTGTGCTGTGTACATGCGTGCTATACACGTGTGTGTGTGTGTGCTGTGTACGTGCGTGCGTGCAACACGTGTGTGTGTGTGTGCTGTGTACGTGCGTGCCACACACGTGTGTGTGTGTGTGTGCTGTGTACGTGCGTGTGTGCAACACGTGTGTGTGTGTGCTGTGTGCGTGCAACACGTGTGTAAGTGTGCGCTCGCTAACACAGCACTTGCCCCAACAGTCCGTTGAGGCTATTCGGGGGATCTTTGTTTGTATAGGTGTGGGGAGCGGTGGTATAGCGGTTAGCGCGCTGCGCTATGAACCCGGCGACCCGAGTTCGATGCCCGCTCACGGCCAACACCGGTGACGAATTATCTGAACCGGTCCTGGGCCTCCCCTAGGTCGACTCAGCCTCAAATGAGTACCTGGTGCGGTGTGTAAAGGCGGCCCGGCGTGGTGCTGGCCACCCACCTTATTCGTGTGCCGTGCCGGCCTTCATAGGCGCTCGCTAACAGCACTTGCCTCAACAGTAAGCGCGGGTTATACGGGGGATCTTTGTCTTTGTTTCGTGTATGTGTAAGCGTGCGAGAGAAATGGAGAGAGTTAGATGGGGAGGGGGGAGGGGTAGCTAATGGCCAATGACCCCGAGGCTCAATTAGCGGCACCGCTTTGCGTGTTTTGCGTGTGAGGTGTGCGCGTGAGAGTTCATAAACGTGGGAATCGGAGGCCCTGGGTCAAAATTCCCCCGCACTGCGCCCCCCCCAACCCCCCGTCATAACCCCCCATTCCCTGTACACCCCCTCCCCACCACCAATACCGACCCAGTTCCCCAACCCCCCATCCCCTACTCACCCACCTACCCCGCCATCGTACTGCTGATGATCACAGCGTTGCTGTGGAGCTCTGTCCGATGCGGCGTTCGCGTCGTTAGCACCCACGCGCCGTTCCAGGAACGCTGTCCGACGTTTCGCTGCACGTTCCGGTCGGCGTCTTCAGTTCGGCCGAATCTTGCTCGGCTCGTCAGATATCGGATGCTAAGCAGGGGTTGAGCCTGGCTAGCGCCTGCTCGGGTGCTCACCGTGCGAAAACGAGCTTGTTTTAGGAATGCTCAGCTACGTGGTGGGCAGTGGAGGACACAATCCAACGTTGTACTGCACTACGCTCCAACGTCTATGCTCCCCCCACCTCCCCATTCACCGATCTGCACTTGACACCAGCGTAGTAAAATTTCGATTTAAAGCTTTCGTGACTGCAGGGATTCATCTTCTTGGTTCTTACGGTAAAGTCACGTAGAATGAAAATAATAAAAATAAAATATAATAAAATAATTCTCACGAGGTTTCGGCCACAACGCAAGCAGCCGTCCTCAGGTGAAGAACAGGTCTGTCGAGAAGACAGAATCATTCAGACTCTGTATTCTCGAGTCTGAATGACTCTGTCTTCTCGACAGACCGTTGTGGCCGAAACGTCGTGAGAATTATTTTATTATGTTTTATTTTTATTATTTTATTATTTCCATTCTACGTGACTTTACCGAAAGAACCAAGAAGATGACCAGCGTAGCAGTGAAGCGTGGTGGTGTCACGCACGCGACCCCCTCCCCGTGCGACGTTCATGGGTCACCTTCATCCAGCAGTGGATCGAGCACGTCCGATGATGAATGCTGCGCGCTACTCTCTCAAGGGGGTGGAGGACAAAGATTTACATTTCACAGTGGCCCTTGCTTAAATCTCGTCTCGAGCAAAACGTCGAGTTCCCCTGCTGCAGTTGTCGCCTAGGGGACCACCTCGTGGCAGCTGTCTCTGGTACGGCACAAAGTGAAAGCAGCAATCCAGATGTGACGTCAAGCACAGAGTGCATCGACTTGCTGAAGGGGAATTACGTTTGCAATATTTTCAGTGCCTCGTCACTTGATAAAGGAGTTCCCTTGGTTTGTGTGCGGGTTTTATCATTTGTGTTTTGCTGTTGTCATTTTGGTGAGCCGGTCGCTTGAGTTCAGACCTGGGTAAATAAAATAAACTTGAAATATGAACTCACTCCCCCACCATCTCACCAACCCACTCACTCATTCACTCACCCACCATATCACCCAACCACTCATTCACTCACTCATTCACTCACCCACTCACTCACTCTTTCAATCACTCTGCCACCATCTCACTCACCCATCATCTCACCCACCCACTCTTTCAATCACTCTCCCACCATCTCACTCACTCACCCATCATCTCACGCACTCTTTCAATCAATTTCCCACCATCTCACTCACCCATCAATCATCTCCCCCACTCTTTCCATCACTCTTCCACCATCTCACTCACTCACCCATCATCTCACGCACTCTTTCAATCACTCTCCCACCATCTCACTCACTCACTTACTCACCCATCACCCACTCACTCTTTCAATCACTCTCCCACCATCTCCCTCACTCCCCCATCATCTCACCCACTCTTTCAATCAATCTCCCACCATCTGACTCACTCACTCATCCACCATCTCACTCACTCACCAATCATCTCGCCCACCCACTCACCCACTCTTTCAATCACTCTCCCACCATCTCACTCACTCACTCACCCACCATCTCACTCACGCACTCACCCATCATCTCGCCCACCCACTCACCCACTCTTTCAATCACTCTCCCACCATCTCACTCACTCACCCACCATCTCACTCACTCACTCACCCACCCCCCCCCTCTCGCAAACGACACTCGTCGTCTCCTCTCGCGTTCTCCCACCTCGCCTTGGCGACGCGAAGCCGCCCTTGAACCTGACTCACGGCACCGTCCGCCTGCCCTCCCCGCGCCCCGCTCAGATCATCCTCCACTCGATGCACCGCTACCTCCCGCGCGTCCACGTGGTGCGCAAGGAGGCGGGCGGAGCGCACGCGGCGCCGTGCCCCACGGCGGACAACAGTCGCGCCTTCTCCTTCCCCGAGACGGTGTTCACCACCGTGACGGCCTACCAGAACCAGCAGGTGCGGCAGCAGCAGCAGCAGCAGCGGCAATACAAACAACAACAACAACACCGGCAACAACAACACTACCACCAACAGCATCAACAGCAGCAACAACAACACCAACAACAACACTAACAACACCGGCAACAACAACAACAACAACACTACCACCAACAACATCAGCAGCAGCAACAACAACACCAACAACAACAACACCAACAACACCGGCAACAACAACAACAACAACACTACCACCACCAACAAGAACCCCAACAACAACACCGTCAACAACAACACTACCACCACCAACAAGAACACCAATAACACCACCACCAACAACAACAACACCAACAACAACAATAACACCAACAACAACATCACCAACAACACTACCAACAACAACACCGGCAACAACAACACTACCACCACCAACAAGAACACCAATACCAACAACATCACCAATACCAACAACACTACCACCACCAACAACAACAACTTCACCACCAACAACATCACTAACAACGCTACCACCACCACCAACAACAACAACTTCACCACCAACAACATCACCAACAACGCTACCAACAACAACACCACTACCACCACCAACAATATCACCAATACCAACAACATCACCACTTCCAACAACAACACTGCCACCACCAACAACAACATCACCAACAACACCACAAACAACACCACCAACAACAACATCATCACCACCAACAACATCATCACCACCACCAACAACATCATCACCACCACCAACAACATCACCACCAACAACAAGAACATCACCAATGGTGCCAAAACCACCACCAGCATCAACAACACCAACAACACAAACGCCTCCTTCCACGCCTACGCTCGCACCACCAAATCCACTATCAACAACAAAAGCACCACCACCAACGAGATCACATCCGCCACCACCGTCTCCACCACCACACAGGGACGATGGGCTGAGTCTCCAGCATTCGAACTCTCAAACCCGTGGCATTACAAGCCGCTCGCAGCTTGAACACTGAGCCACTGGTACACACACAAACACTATATATACACTATATACACACTATAGGGGCCGTCCATAAATGACGTCACGCACCTGGGGGGGGGGGGGGTCAGACATCTGTGACGATGTGTGACGAGGGGGGGGAGGTGTTTGAGAAATGTGACGTCACATCAAAATGCGCAACTTTAAATAAATATAGACAACACGTTCTACTTAATAAAATTGACTTTTTGGGGGGGGGGGGGGGCAGAGCTTTGTGACGTCATATTTGAGGGGGGGGGGCTGACTTTTTGTGACGCCGTCTGTCATAGAGGCGGCGGGGGGGGGGTCAAAAATCCTCCAAAATCGCGTGACGTCATTTATGGACGGCCCTATATACATTATAAATACACTATATATATACCGACTATATACTGGACATCTGTATTCCCGCAGTATAAATACTAATTATGATTAGCGCGGTTGGTTACGTACAGCACGACATTCATATACATGCAATATCTACACACCGCATACATACACACACTACATACACACACTCTATATGTACACTAAATATATACACACACACACGGCCACACATGTATCCGTGTATTTCATTACGAGACCTTCTTTGCCAGTAGCAAGATAGAGTAATAGGTTTTTACCCTTTTATCTGGCAACAAAACTGACTCTAGATTTGAAGCTTTCGTGACTGCAAGGATTCATACTCTTAGTTCTTTCGGTAAAGTCACGTAGGTACGTGACTTTACCGAAAGAACTAAGAATAAAACTGACACCTTTATACAAGAGATCATGTTACTACACCCGTGTATTGTTCATGAACGCGGCGGCGTGGAAACGCCCGCGTTCTAAGCGGCGTCCACAATCGGCGCGTCTCACTCGTCCGCTCGCCCCCATTCCCCCTCTCCCTCCCGCGATGTTAGATCACGCGACTCAAGATCGACCGCAACCCGTTCGCCAAAGGATTCCGTGAGTCCGGACGGAATCGGTAAGGACTTCTTCCATGGATCGGTTCCATCTCTCTTCCACCCCTCTCTTCGACCCCCCCCCCCTCTCTCTCGACGCAAACACTCCGCACGCCACCCCCCCCCTAAGAAGAAGGCTAAAGGCGCAGCTCTGCAATGTGTTGCTCACTCTACCGCCGGCAGAAGGGGTCTTTCTCTCGATTTGCCGGACGTATTGGAGAACGTGAACATACACACATTTTACCCCGCCAGACGCGCTCTGCACCACCGACTAACTCGCAAATTGCAGACCCATGCCTCCCATGAACAGTCTCTCTCCACTGTATAGTAGATATTCACGGTCATTTTGTTCATCCGCTGCTAGACGAAGAGCGCCCCACGATGCGGCGTCGATCTTGGAGGGGGAGGAGTTGTTTGACCATACTTCACCGCGGCTGGCGCGGTGCGGGTTCGTGAAGGATTTAGGAAGGGGTTTGCCCAAGAAGATATCAGTCGACGATGATTTCAGCCTCGGGGCCGTGAAATTGAACGTGGGCTAAGGCTTCGTTCGCAGTGCATTCTAGAGTTGAAGCTTTCGTGACTGCAAGGATCCATACTCTTTGTTTTTTTTTCGGTAAAGTCACGTGGGTTAAGAAATTAAACAAATCAATTAAATCACGACGTTTCGGTGGCAACACAAGCCTCCGTCTTCAGTTGGAACCGTCACAGCAAAATTACTGTATCAAGATGATATAGTAATTGATACAGTAATTTTGCTGTGACGGTTCCACCTGAAGACGGATGCTTGTGTTGCCTCCGAAACGTCGTGATTTAATTTATTTGTTTTATTTCCTAATCTCCGTGACTTTACCGAAAAAACCAAAGAGTTCGTAGTGCAGTTGCGCTAATCACTGCGCCACCGCTCCACCATCCACCACCACCCGTTTAAGACTCGAGAGAAGTATTATCATAATTCGTATTGTTATCGTAATCCTGGCCATCATTAAGGGAGGGTGAAGAGTGCAATGGGGATGACGTCGCCACCCAGCTGTTGTTATCAGCTCTCGCCAGCTCTTCCCCTGATCCCCGCTTTGACAACAGATCGCAAGCGTGCCCTTATCGAGCCGACAGCCTTGAAACCAAAGGTGGCACAGTCGGGTTTTTTTACAATCGGGTTTAATTGTCTTTTGATATTAAACCCGATCATCTGAGATTGGGAGAAATCCGGTTTAATTGGTTCTAATTGCAGAACCGCACTTCGCCAACTTCTCAACGATGGGCTTCATCCATTCCAAGTTAAGGAACTCACTGGCGCCCACGATTGTGGAGGAGAAGCTCGTGTTCATCAAGACCAACCTGCCCGCCGCATTCTACGACTACCCCGTGCCCGACGGCCCCCCCGAGTACGATAGCAGCACCGACGAGGAAGCAGCCTAAGCCTTGGATCAGAGTTTCGTATTCATGAAACCAGGTTTTAATTTTCCGAAATCGGGTTTAATTGTATTAAAGAAAAAACCCGATGCCTGCCGCTGGAAAAATCGGGTTTTTTCCACCCATGCTTGAAACGGCCGGCGGCTCTGCGAGCGTAGCGCTTGAAGCGGGGCTGCTGATGAGACACCGGATGTCGAAACTGCTCCAAACGTTTGCTCGTGTAAGAACGAGTGCCGCTTTGGCGGTGTCGCGCCGGGTTGATAACTAAATTTCGATTTAAAGCTTTCGTGACTGCAGGGATTCATCTTCTTGGTTCTTTCGGTAAAGTCACGTAGAAGGGAAATAATAAAATAATAAAAATAAAACATTATAAAATTTAGATTTAAAGCTTTCGTGACTGCAGGGATTCATCTTCTTGGTTCTTTCGGTAAAGTTACGTAGAAGGGAAATAATAAAAATAAAACATAATAAAATACAATTCTCACGACGTTTCGGCGGACGCTGTCTTTCCGACAGCCATGTTCTTCACCTGAGGACGGCTGCTTGCGTTGTGGCGGAAACGTCGTGAGAATTGTATTTTATTATGTTTTATTTTTATTATTTTATTATTTCCCTTCTACGTGACTTTACCGAAAGAACCAAGAAGAAGGGTCGAGAACTGGCCACGAATTCGAGGCAGGATAAGAAATGCTGTCATTGGCGAAATGTCATCGCTGCAGAAGGAGTAACTTCTGTAACCTGAACTGGTCCCAAAGAGTTACCACCGTAGCAGTAAGAAAGAGGTTGCAGGTATAAGAAGACAACTTGATGATGATGGTGATGCGGGCAGTGCCGAGAAGGGAACTGGGCACGATTTGGACACCTGTGTGTAGGATTGACAGCGACAGGAAGATGTCAAGTTTGTTGTTCGGAAAAAAATGGAAGGAAGGGGAATGATTGGAAGAGCTTTGCAGAGATTTGTGCCACAAAGACGTGGCCACGACTTGAGCATTATGGGCACAAGGCAGAGAGGAAAGTGTAAATAAATTATTAAATGTGCAGGAGATACCTATGGGATATCTGCCCATGGATCATGATGATGATGATGAAGTCCGTGGTGGCTGATGGAATGTAGGGGAAAAAAAGTGCCTTCAATTTGTTACGTGGACGGACAGATGCAGGCGAATTACTTTTGGTGTGACCGACACATATCAGACACAAATCCAGACTGTTGGGGCAAGTGCTGTTAGCGAATGCCAGGGCACACAAGGGGATGGGTGGCGAGTACCACACCAGGCCGCCTCTGTATCCCCAGTGCCGATGTTGTATACACACCGTTAACGTCGAGGAAACGCAGGACCGGCTAGGATGTTGGCCGTGAACGGGAATCGAACTCGGGTCGGCGGAGATTCGTAGCGCAGTGCGCTAAACACTGCACGACCACTCCGCACACATACACATAGTCACACATATACTCGTACACAAGCAGCGTACTTAGTATAAATGTATATAGCAGTGTATATACCAGACGGTTATCACTTACGCTCAGGTACACTTATAAATATACTCGTATAGGCATAGATATATATACAAAAGTGGATTGACATATTACTGTAAGCATATATGGGTATTCATATATCCGCTCATATACACACGTGCCCGCATATTATCGTACATATATACATACACACACACAGATACACAAAGATCAAGACAAAGTTCCCCAGAATGGCCTTAACAGACTATTGGGGCAAGTGGTGTTAGCGAGCACCTATAAAGGCCGACAGGGCACACGAAGGGATGGTGTTGCCAGGACCACGCCCGGCCACCTTTGTATCTCTAGCGAAGATGTATCCACATCGCAACGAGGTACTCATTCGAGGCTGAGTCGACATAGGGGAGGCCCGGAACTGGTTCGGATAATCGTCACCGATGCTGGTGGCCATGAGCGGGAATCGAACTCGGGTGGCCGGGATCGTGATCGTGGCTGAGCGAGCGCGAACCGCTGCGCCACCACTCCACGACTATCGTATGAAATAAAAAAGTATTGTTATAAAATAGTAAATAATTATATAATGTGCGATTTTACATTCTCACACAGGGTGGTGGGTGGGCGGGGGGAGACGAAACACGCTTCTTCGAGCCCAATTAAGGGCTAATTAACATTGTTTTAAGCTCCCCGAGTTATGAGTTCATAAGTTCATATTGTTACACTCAGACTACGCGACCGCCTTTCAACCGAAGTGCACAGACACTTAGGCAATGCTCTGGCCTCTAGGAATTTCATCATCGCCATCGCAATAGGAATTTCATCATCGCCATCGCAATAATCATCATCACCATCATCGCCAGCCACGGGATATTCACATATCCGACCGTGACCAATTAACGAATTTTGCACGCGTTTTAAATCGTTATTATTATTTTTTATTGCGGTGCAAACTGTGATTATCTCAATTCTAATTTGCTATAGAAGGTTCACAAATGCAGTTGATAATAATGGCAATGCAGTCGAAGTTGTTGATTTTATTGATTCATGTAGGAGTTGATGATTAATCGGATAATGATGGTGATGATGGTCGTGATGATGATGGTGCTGATGACGACGACTATGAAATGTATTATGTTGATGATATTGTTAATGATGACGGTCATAATGTTGAAAATGATACTGACGATGATGCGATTGTTGATGAAAATCAACAGCCGATCATTAAGATGATGATGTTCATGAGTCGATAATGATTACATTGTTCATAATCAGAAGTTGATTTCCCCAGTAATGCCCATTGAGCTAAGAAGCTCCTTCTCAAGGGCAACTCGGACGACCGATGATGACAATCACGTTAGAGGTCGCTGCCAATTCAACAACTCATGTACGTTGCTGCTGCTGCTGTTGCTGCTGCTGCTGACATAGACGATCGACGGATATCCGATTTGAACAATGAGACCACGGCGATCCGTTCGCGAGAGACACGCCGAGAGCCCAGTCGCTTCGAATCGCCCCCCCCCCACCCCCAGCCAACTCCGTAACCCCGACAGAGCCACAGCCGTTCGAACTCTCTGCAACTCGACTCCGTCTCTCCGCATTCCACCACCTCGCAGACTCCGTCTCGTGTTTTCGCAGCGCGCGCGCCACCCTGAGCCCGGGTTTATCGATCTGTGCGGCCCACCGCCTCGGATTTGGTGTAACTCGCCGCGGCATTCCATCAACTTTAAAGAAGCCCGCTTAGGCGAGAAGGCAACTGCCGAGTGTTTTTGCCGCCGCCGCCGCCGCTAACTAATTGGGTATAAGTATGACTTGTAAAGGGGCTGAAAACTAACCCCGCACTGCCCCCGAGTCGCTCCCTCCTACTCGCTCTCCTCCGCACACACACACACACATACCCCCCCCCACCCTACTCACTCACCCACTCACCACCCCCCCATCACCCCACCACTAGCTCACAACACGCACTCGCAGAGCTGCTCCACAGACACCCACTCACCCACCCACCAGGACATAGAGACAAAGATCCCCTGTATAGCCTTTAACCGACTTTCGGGGCAAGTGCTGTCAGCGTGAACTCCGTCATAGACGTACGTTGGGGCCAGGGGTGGACAGCGCAACTTGCCGGCCGCCTTTGTCTCCCCAGTGGTGATGTTTTACGCATCGCACCGGGTACACATTTGAGGCTGAGGTCCCACCACCGGTTCAGACAATCGTCGATGGTTGATGGTGACCTCGAGTTGGGTTCGATCTCGAGCGGCTGACTTCGTAGCCTGCCACTGGACTCCCACTGCCCATTGATCACATCGACAAGGACACAACATGACACGTAGCAGGCGACGTTTCAGGCAACGGTCAACTTCTTGTGTAAGCGCGTGACTCGTCGCCAAGCTGTTCGTTAAGTACGGTTCATTGATTATCACGTGAATGTCGAACGATTTGTGATCGACTCGTGTACATTCTCAAGTTCATCTTCTTGGTTCTTTCGGTAAAGTCACGTAGAAGGGAAACCAGGTCTGTCGAGGCGACAGCGTCTGTCGCCTCGACAGACCTGGTTTCACCTGAGGACGGCTGCTTGCGTTGTGGCCGAAACGTCGTGAGAATTATTTTATTATGTTTTATTTTTATTATTTTATTATTTCCCTTCTACGTGACTTTACCGAAAGAACCAAGAAGATGAATCCCTGCAGTCACGAAAGCTTTAAATCGAAAATTCTCAAGTTCGTTTTGGAAGGGATGGAGAATTCGCGGTTCGGGCCAAAATTACGCGTCGAAGAATCAGAGGGCTCGGATGTTTAGTGAGCGCTAATGACGCAACAGTCAACGCGTTCGTCAGAACACGAGCACCGTTACCCGAAACGTCGCCTATTACGCAGTGGCATATTTCTAAGGCCACAGTGGTGATATTGGCGAGCGTGTTGTTGAGGTTGTTGTTGTTGTTGTTCTTAATTGTGGTTGTGCGACACTCTCTGCCAACGCAGCAAAAGCGTTGGTAGAGATCCACGCAGCTGCTCGGAGTCTCGCACACACAAAGACAAATACAAAGAGCCCCCGTATAGCCTTAACAGACTGTTGGGGCAAGTGCTGTTAGCGAGAGCTAACCGCTACGCTACCGCTCCCCACACTCACACGCACACACACACACTGACACACACTGACTCACACACTGACATACACACACTGACACACACTGACACACACACACTGACACACTGACACACACATTGACACACACACACTGACACACACACACTGACACACATACACTGACAACAAACAAAAAACAAAGATCCCCCGTATAGCCTTAACAGACTGTAGGGGCAAGTGCTGTTAGCGAGCACCTATGAAGGCCGGAACGGTACACGAGGGGGTGGGTGGCCAGCACCACGCCCGACCGCCTTTGTCTCCCCAGTGGAGATGTTTACACACCACACCAGGTACTCATTTCAGGCTGAGTCGACCTAGGGGAGGCCCAGGACCGGTTCAGATAATCGTCACTGGGGTTGGCCGTGAGCGGGAATCGAACCCGGGTCGCTAGGTTCATAGCGCAGCGCGCTAACCGCTACACCACCGCTCCCCACACTGACACACACACACACTGACACACACACACACTGACACACACACACACTGACACACACACACACTGACACACACACACTGACACACACACACTGACACACACACACTGATACACACAACAACAACAACAACCGCCATTCGCCACTAAGTGGCGGTGACGTCACCACGATGCTTGTGCCAGGCCAAGTGCACCTTGAGGCCACGTGAAGTGTCGAAAGCCCGCTGGCAGGAGGTCACGGGGCAGACCCAGGTGCCACTGGTCGACTGACCGAGATGACCGAGATGACTGGCTGATGCACCACCTGTGCCCCCTACTGTGCCAACTTGCTGTGCTTTAGCCACCCGGCGCTCCGCTCGTTGTTGTGAGCGTCGCTCCTCCGCCCTCCGTTGTTGTTGGAGGGCGACTGCCTCCAACTGCCCAGTAGCGTCCTTCACGAGCCTCCTCCACTGAGGCCGATCTTGACACCGCTGGTACCAGTCATCGGCAAGTCCACTCAGCTCCACGTCCTCCTGTACCACATCACTCCATCTCTTCTCCAGCCCGTGCCGCGCCCGTCTAGCCCCCTCGATCCGGCCGAACAAAAGCTGTTTAGGCATGCGGTGGCTGGGCATGCGGGCTACATGACCCAGCCAACGCAGCCTTGCCTGCCGGAGGAGCTCACTGATGGGACTTTGCCCAGATCTTTCAAGGATTTGTGAGCTCCTCACACAATCCAGCCTGGTTAAACCCAGGATGGATCGTAGGCAGGCCAGCCTAAATGTTTCCAACCGGCGAAGATGCTCCACCAGGGGGGTCCACGTCTCGCAAGCGTAGAGAAGGGATACACACACACACTGATACACACACACTGACACACACACACTGACACACACACACACTGACACACACACTGACACACACACACTGACACACACACACACTGACACACACACACTGACACACATACACTGACACACACACACTGACACACACACTGACACACACACACGCATCGTCAGTTGTCCGGGTAAATTCGCCTCCCGTGAGTGTGACGCTGAAGCCAATAAAGAGTTGGACCAAGCTCTCTCTCGGTTGGCGCTATAATTAATACAATATACTGCAGACGTAGAGAGTTTTCCGAGACGAAACTCATTCGTCGGGAGGGTTAGGATCACTCGGTGGTTAAATTTACGCGTAAAAAACTAAATTAAATGTCGTGGAAACCCTCCACCACCCGAATAGATTGTCACGTTCACTACAACGAAATGCTCGTGAAAATGTGCCAATGTATGGAGTCAAACTTCTGATCAATAAAGTTCAAATCTGCGCACCGATGGCCCATAAGACAGGGTGTCGGCCAACCGACATATGAAGAGGAGACGAGTTTATTTTTCGAATTCGGTAGTAAACCAAAATTCAAAACAATAACAACAACTCAAACTCTAATTATTTCAAGAGCCGCAATGCAACTATGATGAATACGAGGCGGCGGTGGTGGGTCCCATAATATCACAACTATCACGAAGCAGTAGCCTTAAAGAGCCGCATGAGGTTCCGAAGTTGCAGGTTCGCTGACTCTGTCCTAAGACTTTTCATCAATGGATTGAACGCCGATAAAGCGTCAACATACAACATTGGTGTGAATTAATTTGGGCCCAAATCTATTCGCTAATACGTGTATTGGATCTCTGTAATATATGATGTACATTTATATATATATATGTGTGTATGTGTATATTATGTATACATGGGTAGCGGTTACCGCGGTTGTGCTACGAACCCGGCGACCCGAGTTCGAGCCCCGCTCACGGCCAACGCCAGTGACGATTATCTGAACCGGTCCTGGGCCTCGCCTAGGTCGACTCAGCCTCAAGCGAGTGCCTGGTGCGCTGTGTAAACATCGCCACTGGGGAGACAAAGGCGGCCGGGCGCGGTGCTGGCCACCCATCCCCTCGTGCGCCATGCCGGCCTTCATAGGTGCTCGCTAACAGCACTTGCCCCTACAGTCTGTTGAGGCTACACGGGGGATCTTTGTCTCTGTGTGTGCAGCACGGGTCTCGAGGCGCTGATGGACAGCTACACGCTGTGGCGACCCCCCGGGCGAGCGCTCTCCCTCGAGGAAGCGGCGGCGGGCGGGCGCCTCCACGCCACTCAAGGTGGGGTGGGAGCAGCCCCCCTCCCCTCCTAGCCCCTCCCCTCCTCCCCCCTCCCCTCCTAGCCCCTCCCCACCTACTCCCTCCCCTCCTACCCCCTCCCTTCCTACCCCCTCCTACCCCATCCCCTCCTACCCCCTCCCCTCCTACTCCCTCCTCTCCTAGCCCCTCCCCTCCTACTCCCTCCCCTCCAACCCCCTCCCCTCCTACTCCATCTCCTCCTACCCCTCCCCTCCAACCCCCTCCCCTCCTACCCCCTCCCCTCATACTCCCTCCCCTCCTACTCCCTCCTACTCCCTCTCCTCCTACCCCCTCCCCTCCAACCCCCTCCCCTCCTACCCCCTTCTCTCCTACCCCCTCCCCTTCTACTCCCTCCCCTCCTACCCCCTCCCCTCCTACTCCCTCCCTTTCTACCCCCTCCCCACCTACCCCCTCCCCTCCCCACTACCCCCTCCCCTACCCACTACCACGTTACCCTTCCCCTCGGCAGGCCAACCCATCCGCAACAATCCAAAGCGACCACGATCACCACCACCCTGCACCGCTAACTCGCGCCACGAGCTGCCCTAGCACGCACTCCCCCCCTCTCCTTCCCCCCACCATGCCCCATCCCCCTTTGCCCCCCTCCCCAACCACCATAGCCTCTCACCCCTCTCTCATCTCCCTTTTCTCCCCCGCCCCCCCCCAATGCCACCACCAACCACAATCAATTCTCACCACCACCACCACTCTTCCCCATTATCTAGCCAAATCACCAGACCCCAAAATCGAACTTGCTGCCAGTTAACCAGCGGTGGTTCGTGACCTTCATTGCAGCAATTGCACCCCCCCCCCCCAACTTTGGTTCGCAATCGTTAAACAATGTAGGGGTTTGATGACACAAAGTAACACCATTGGAACCTCCTTTGCCAGTACGCCTTTTGGCGTCATCTGGTCCAACACCATGTGAGACTAGGCTCTAAGGAAAGCTGTCTTGGTTGTGGACCAACCACTTTTAAGGACAGTGCATACATTATCAGAGTTATGTTTTTTTTTGCATTCCGACTGCAGGTATTGTGGTCAATGCAAACATGACTCCTTGTAAATAAGGTGTCAGTTTTGTTGCCAGATAAAAGGGTAAAAAAACAATTATTATGTGACACAAAGTAAGTTGTAACTTACGTGCCCGTGCATAATTTGTTTTTTCGATTATTTACCTTCTACAAAAATTTGGCCATGTCCCGCACCCCCAGAAAGGGCTTCTCGCTCCCCCCAGGGAGTGCGTGCAGCCCGGGTTAAGAACCGCTGGTTTAGGGACACGCTTGATGAGGCACTGAATGTCGAAATCGGTCCAGATTTTTGCTTGGGCTGAACCGACGCTGTTGAAAACTACGCACTCGCAGAAGGTCGCGTGGCTGATGGGATGAGTCGAACGAGGGGTCTGTGTTGTTTACGCGGAGAGAGATACACATGGGGAGGAGGCGATATGCCTGCGTATGTGTTTTGTCACGTTCATCGTGTTACGCAGAACGCCAATGCCACCGCCACCCATCAACCCACTCCCATCATCTCCCCACCCACCAACTCTCACCACCCCCCCACCCACCAACACTCACCACCTTCCCACCCAACCACCCACCAATTATCACCACCTCCCCACCCACCAATGCTCCCCACCTCCCCACCCACCCACTCTCACCACCTCCCCACCCACCAACTCTCCCCACCTCCCCACCCACCCACTCTCACCACCTCCCCACCCACCAACTCTCACCACCTCCCCACCCACCCACTCTCACCACCTCCCACTCCCCACCCACCAGCTCTCCCCACCTCCCCACCCACCCACTCTCACCACCTCCCCACCCACCCACTCTCACCACCTCCCAATCCACCCACCCGCCAACTCTCACTTCCTCACCCACCCACTCTCCCCACCTCCCTACCCACCCACCCACTCTCACCACCTCCCCACTCACCTACCCACCCACCCACTCTCACCACCTCCCCACCCACCCACCCACCCTCACCACCTCCCCACCCACCCACCAACTCTCACCACCTCCCCACCCACCCTCACCACCTTCCCACCCACCCACCAGCTCTCACCTCCCCACCCACCCACCCACCCACACACTCTCACCACCTCCCCACCGACCCACTCTCACCACCTCCCCACCCACCAACTCTCACCACCTCCCCACCCACCCACTCTCACCATCTCCCCACTCACCAACTCTCCCCACCTCCCCACCCACCCACTCACCCACCCACCAACTCTCACTACCTCCCCTAGCAAGCACCACTCTCCTCCCAAAATCCTCAGGCAGCCAAAACAACTCTAGTCCCACGGCCACTCTTATCTGGGGGCCTTTGAAGAGGGAATCATAAACAATGGAGTCCTCGCGTGTGTGAGTGTGCGTGTGTGGGTCTGTGCGCGCGTGTGCCTCTGTGCGCGTGTCTGCGAGTGAGTTGTCCGCCCTAACGCCATCCAGAGGCTTCAGTTGTCGCCAAGTGACGACTTCATTTCGGCGGAGCGGTCGTGGAGTGGTCAGCGTACCGCGCTTAGCACCGCTGTGTAACCATCAGCACTGGGAAGACAAAGGCGGCCGGGCGTAGTGCTTGACGGCACTTCCCGCTCGTGTGATGTGGCGGCCCATATCACAGGCGCTCCCTAAAAGCACTTGTCCCAACAGGCCGTTGAAGGCTATACGGGGGATCTTTGTCTTTGTGTGTATGTGAATTGCAATGCATTGTGCGGAGCGGTGGCGCCGTGGTTTGCACGTCACGCAACGAACCCTGCGGTTGCAAGTTCGATTCACGGTCATGGCTAACATTCAGTAGCGGGTGATATCCTCATCGTCATGATGTTTCTGTTAATGATGCTGATTATACACTATGTAACACCATTCTTGTTTATGGGTACTTAGTGTTATATTTTTTTATTGCGTATGCCTAAAAAGTATAGATAATAGCTATTATTCCCCACAAACTTTGCTTGTGACCAGGACTTTATGTGAAAGAATGACACAAATGCACACCACGTTTTCTCATTGAAAATAGGTACATTTCAAATTATCACTGTCCTGGTCACAAACGCAAAGTTTGCGGGGAATAATAGCCATTTCCTATACCTTTGAGGCATAAGAAATTAGGAAATAACACTTACTACCCAGGAAAACATTTTATTTGTTATACAGTGATTAATCGTAGTTATAATAGAAATGTTGACAATACTATTGCTGCTGCTGCTGTCACAGTTGTTGCTGATAACGATAATGGTGCTGTTCGAGGTGATGATGATGGTTCTGAAGAAAGTGTTGATTTTGTGGATCGGGATAATGATTTTGGCTCATCACAAATCTATTGCTGCTGCTGCTGGTGGTGGTTTATTATGGTGATTATACTATGATTTATGATGGATAATATTATATTGGAAGTGTTTTTGTTGATGATGATTCTATAGATGATTGATGCTGGCTGTAACTGCCAGCGAAACGTCGGACTACCCAATTGTTAAACGCGTGTGGATCGCTCTCCAACACCGCACGGGTACTGCTGCCGATTCTGCTGCCGCGGCAATAATTTGGCCGCGTTTGTTCATCACGTGGCCACTTTGTTATTTGGCTGTTCCGGGTGGCTGAGGGTGGACGACACTCATCCACACTTGAAAAATAGCTGGAAAGGCTCAATGGGTTCATTACTCGGATAATACATTTCTGAGTCTAAGCATTTTACTCACGCAGCGATCTGACCCAAAATCAATCAGTGCATTGTTTACGATGCTGCTGCTGCTGATGATGATTATTTCAATGATTGAAATAATGACACTGATGACGATGATGACCAAGATACTGCTGCTACTGATGATGTTGTTGTTGATTATGTTGTTGTTGTTGTGCCGACGTGAGCAGCCAGCCTCCTGGATGCCTCCCTCATGGCCTCCGGCTTTGGAGCAGCACCACCACCGGGCCACCACCACCACCACCACATGTTCTTGCCCACGATGGGACCTGTGCACATGGCTGGCTCTCCACACCCGCACGCCCACCACCACCACCATCACCACGCCGCCGCCGCCGCGGCTGCCGCCGCCCAACATCACCACCACCAGCAACAGCAGCAGCAACAGCAGCAGCAGCATCAACAGCAGCAGCAACAGCAGCAGCAGCACCAAGCTCTGCTCGCCGCCCACCACCATCACCACCACCACCACGCGCACCAGCACGGTCCATCTCACGGCGATCAGCAACCTCGTTTTTCCAGCCTGGCTTCTTGCTGCGCAGGAGGGGCAGGAGTAGGAGGAGGTGGCTCGGTCGGAGGGCAGACAGCAGCTGCAGCAGCTGCAGCAGCAGCAGGAGGATGCACGGACAGTTTTGCGAGCGCGCTAGCCTTGCACGGGTCACGTGCCGGACTGCAGCACCTGGGGCTGCCCCGCTTGGGTCTTGCCTGCAGCATCAGCCGCAAGGACGTGGCGCAGGCAGACGACGGCGCCCCCATGTCGTCGTTCCAGCCGGCGCTGCCGTGTATCATGGCCCAGCATGCAGCGCACGGGGCCGCCCTCAAAGACTTCTGCTCCTTCTTCCCTTGAACTCGTCAAGCAGAATTAGCACACAGCCTCCTTCTCTGCACCACCCCCCCCACCACCACCACCGGCTACCATCGCCCTATGTCTCCTCTAGCCCCACACCTACCCCGCGCGTGAGACCCATCGGCCGCACGCACGGCCTTCTGTTGGGGTGTGGGGTGCATCTCATCATCAGCGTCGATACGGGCAGAACTCTGAACCCCGGCGTCGACACTCAGTTGTCTCATCAGCAGGATGATTATTTCGTGTCGCGTGAAGCGGTTTTGTTTTATTTTATTTCTGTTGAAAACAATTTGGGGTCGGAGTGTGGCTGCGAGCGAAATGAAATTGTAATGAGTGTAAAGATAATTGCGATTGTGTCACGTTTTGTGGACGCTGTTAGCTTTCATTTTTTTCCTTCCACTGGCACAACCAAGCCCGGCACGGTTCGGGTGGGGCTAGGTTGTTTTTTTTCCCACTGCAAGAAGCCAAGCCACGCTGCTAATGACGTCACGCGCAATGAGCGAGTCGAGATGCATGTGGACGACGCGAGAGTGACGCCGTGTCCTCACGACGTACTGACAATGAAAAGTATTAACCCCGCCCCCTGGCCCTGCTCGGACCCGAGCTAGATTCAGATGTCTTCTTGTGAGGCCAGCGTAGCACGGGTTTGGTTCCGGCTCGCAATCACCAACCGCCACCACCAACCATGAGTCCCGCCCCCCGTGCTGGCTTGGCTCAGATGTGCCAGTGGAAAAACCACCACCTGTACCGTGCTGGCCACGTACTGGCTCGGTTCAGATGTGCCAGTGGAAAAGGGGTTGCTGTCATACTTGCCAACGCCACCAATTTACGCAGTAGGCTGCCGATGGAAAAAAATATATACACATATTTTTTAAACCGTATACTGATTTTCAACGCTAATCAGACCATTTCATACATTGTTTTAAAAACGAACGTCTACAAAATTTTTGCTTTGAAAATCGATATGCGGTATAAGGGGCGAGTTTCAGGATTTTAACATTTCGGATTTAAATAAAATAATATTGTAGGATCAAAAACATTTTTGTTCTTTTTTTTTACATTTCCCCAATGTGCGAAAAGTAAAAAATACGCGTCTGCGCTCACGATAGTGACCGCACCCTTGAGGCAGAGACCCACAGACTCACACGTGAGTGTTTGCCAAGCTAGTGACGTCACTTCCGTTTTTTTTGACAAATCAAAAACAAGCAAAAAAACAAAACAGTTATAATGGCTCTAAATTGCACTTATGGGCCCGATTTAAAAATTTGTTTATTTCGAACCGATATGAAAATGTGGAGCACGTTTCTAGCAAGCGGTGAAATGGGCCTCAAATGTTTGGCATCGGACTACTTGCGTCATTGGAGGAGTTGACGAGTCGGGGACTCTTCGGCACAAAGACTCGCTCAGAATTGACGAGCGACACGCGGCGTTGTCAAGTTACCAAACATATTGGGGAGGGGAGGTGGGGGAGGAGGGGGTGCTGGTTGACTGGTGTGGTTATAGTTAGAGGGTTAGAGGTAAGGATAGTTTCTAGTTGGCTAATGTGAGTAGGGTTAGGGCTCGTGTCTTATTGGCTAGTGTGGCTAGGGGTAGGGCTCGTGACTGATTGGTTAGTGTGGTTAGGGGTAGGGCACGTGACTGATGGGCGAGTGTGGTTAGGGGTAGGGCACGTGACTGATGGGCGAGTGTGGTTAGGGGTAGGGCACGTGTCTGATTGGTTAGTGTGGTTAGGGGTAGGGCACGTGACTGATGGGCTAGTGTGGTTAGGGGTAGGGCACGTGACTGATTGGCTAGTCTGGTTAGGGTCAGGGCTCGTGTCTGATGGGCTAGTGTGGTTAGGGGTAGGGCACGTGACTGATTGGTTAGTCTGGTTAGGGGTAGGGCACGTGACTGATTGGTTAGTGTGGCTAGGGGTAGGGCACGTGACTGATTGGTTAGTTTGCTCTGCCTCCTGTTCGCAATGTGCCCCTCCCCCAATACCAACGATGCAGTTTTGAATTTTCATTCTCTCCACTTTGTGAGTGGCCAATCACAGTGGCGCGAATTCCACTCGCCCGCAACAAACACGTGTAATTTGAAAAACAAAACCGATATTGAAAAATAATGAAGACACTTGTACAGGAAAGTAAAATCCACAACAACAACAACAACGTCATCGTCACCAATGATTGCCAGCGCATGTGTAAAAAAATGCTTTTGGAACTTTGTCTTTTTTTTAAAACGAACTTATGCCACATGGGGCGTGGGGAGAGATCCGATGCGATCGGGCAGAGATAATTTTGCATGAACCTGACCTGGATATCCCTCCAGGAGGTCACCGCTAGCATCCTCACAGAGGCCCCAAGCTGTCGCGACCATGGTTAGGCCTCAACCACAACACGACCAACAACGACACCAACAACAACGACACCAACAACAACGATACCAACAACAACGATACCAACAACAACGATACCAACAACAACGACACCAACAACAACGATACCAACAACAACGACACCAACAACAACGACACCAACAACAACGACACCAACAACAACGACACCAACAACAACGACACCAACAACAACGACACCAACAACAACGACACCAACAACAACGACACCAACAAAAACGACACCAACAACAACGATACCAACAACAAGGACACCAACCGTCTTCTTCTCACGCTACGTTGATCACGAGGGTGGGGCTTTGTAAAGAGTGGTGTTTTGTTGATTTAGCCAGGTGTTTAACCAGGTGTTTAACCAGGTGTGTAACCAGGTGCTTAGCCAGGTATTTAAAAAGGTGCTTAGCCAGATCACTGCGGGTCGGTGGAGGTGCGGGGCTCAGGTGTCAGTACTTAGGACCCATCCACGTTGAGTAGGGCTCGTGTCTGGTGTGCTAAGTGTTGATACGTCAACTGAGTACGTAAACTGAGTACAGTAACTGATACATTAAGACCTAAAGCCAGACGGATGATGATGATGATGATGGAGACCTTGAAGCGTTATGTGCTTGTCCGCGCAACATTTTTACTGTCTGGCATAGGGAAGGAAGCGATGGGGAATAGGTGATGATGGTATCAATCAAAGCAATATATTGACAACAACAATGGCTTCAACAACATAAACAACAATGACAATCAACAACAATAACGATCAATAACAATGACAACTACAATAGCGATGAACAACAATGACAATCAACAACAATAGAGATAAACAACAATGACAATCAACAACAATAGCGATGAACAACAATGACAATCAACAACAATAGCGATGAACAACAATGACAATCAACAACAATAACGACGAACAACAATGACAATCAACAACAATAGCGATGAACAACAATGACAATCAACAACAATAACGACGAACAACAATGACAATCAACAACAATAGAGATAAACAACAATGACAATCAACAACAATAGCGATGAACAACAATAACAATCAACAACAATAACGACGAACAACAATGACAATCAACAACAATAGCGAAGAACAACAATGACAATCAACAACAATAGCGATGAACAACAATGACAATCAACAACAATACCGACGAACAACAATGACAATCAACAACAATAACGACGAACAACAATGACAATCAACAACAATAGAGATAAACAACAATGACAATCAACAACAATAACGACAAACAACAATGACGATGAACAACAACAACAACAGTGAACAGGAGCAATGACATCACCAGCATCAACAACGCACACTGAACTCGCTTGGAGCCGTACGAGAGTGGAGCGTCGTTTAATTGTAACGAGTTTATCGATATTAATTATTGTTTAGTTTTGCAATTTCTGCGCCCCCCCCCCCCCCCAGCCACGTTCCCGTCCCGTCTTCCTCTCCACCTCCTGTTTCGTTTTTTTGTATATTTAATGATTTAATCACAATAAATAACTGAACGTGGCTTTCAGGGGCCCGTCTGATGGGTGATTGATCCCGCTTAAACATCTTGGAGGTGAAGCAGGCTTGAGCCTGCTTAAGAGTACTGGCACCTACCTGGATTCGACTACTGGCTGTGCGTACCAGGTGGCGTAGGGGTGTACTGCGACGGAGGCGGGGGGGGGGGCACGGCAAGAGATGGAAGTACAACAGAGGATTATTGAAGCTATCTGTGTGGATCGTTGAGCGTCACGCACCTCGTGTGCCACCGGGCAGTGCTGGGGTTTCCCCCCGGATCGTCCGGTGTTCTGCTCCCACGCAAAGCATCATGGGATTCGTTTCCCAAACATCCCAATGGTAGCAGGGCCATCTTTGAAAGGGAGTGCTGAGACTCAGCGAGGCATCTTCATCGCTCTGTCATCTCACTGGTCTGTATGTTAGCAGCTATCTCGCTCTCATCGAAATGTATTGTTCATGTAAATAATCTGTATATCTTGTCTCCAACCCTCCCAGCTTTATCTCTCGTGTATCTCTATTCCATATAAGGTCACACACAGAGACCCACAGAGTAGAGACTCACAGACTCACACAGCAGAGACCCACAGACTCACACAACAGGAACTCACAAACTCACACAGAGATCCAGACTCACACAGAGACCCACAGACTCACGCAGCAGAGACACACAGACTCACACAGAGATCCACAGACTCACACAGCAGAGATCCACAGCCTCACAAAGCAGAAACCCACAGACCCACGTAGCAGAGACCCACAAACTCACGCAGAGACCCACAGACCCACACAGCAGAGATCCACAAACTCACACAGAGACCCACAGACTCACACAGAGATACAGACTCACACATAGATTCACATACTCACGCAACAGAGACCCACAGACTCACACAGAGACCCACAGACTCACACAGCAGAGATCCACAGACTCACACAGCAGAGACCCACAGACTCACACAGCAGAGACCCACAGACTCACACAACAGAGACCCACAGACTCACACAGCAGAGACCCACAGACTCACACAGCAGAGATCCACAAACTCACACAGAGACCCACAGACTCACACAGAGATACAGACTCACACATAGATTCACATACTCACGCAGCAGAGACCCACAGACTCACACAGAGACCCACAGACTCACACAGCAGAGATCCACAGACTCACACAGCAGAGACCCACAGACTCACACAGCAGAGACCCACAGACTCACACAACAGAGACCCACAGACTCACACAGCAGAGACCCACAGACTCACGCAGCAGAGACCCACAGACTCACCCAGCAGAGACCCACAGACTCACACAGCAGAGACCTACAGACTCACGCAGCAGAGACCCACAGACTCACATAGCAGAGACCCACAGACTCACACAGCAGAGATCCACAAACTCAAACAGAGACCCACAGCCTCACGCAGCAGAGACCCACAGAATCACACAGAGACCCACAGACTCACACAGAGACCCACAGACTCACGCAGCAGAGACCCACAGACTCACACAGCAGAGACCCACAGACTCACACAGCAGAGACCCACAGACTCACACAGCAGAGACCCACCGCCTCACGCAGCAAAGACCCACAGACTCACGCTAATCTATTCCTGTGTATGGCAGCAATATGTTCAAGGGCTACACGCCACTGTGGAGGTCTGCTGGCCACGACTAGAGCACTTCGCGAGAGAGTGGAGTTTTTGCCTTTCCTCATATGAACCGGTCATGGGCCTCCCCGAGGTCGACTCAGCCTGAAATGAGTACATGGTGCGATGTGCAAACATCAGCGTTGGGGAGACAAACGTGGCCAAGCGTGGTGTTGGCCTCCCCCCCCCCCCCCCCACTCATGTGCCGTGCCGGCCTTTAAAGAAGCTCTCTAACATAACTTCACTGGATGTCTGTGAAAAAAACAGAGCTTTGTAGCTCTTTCGATTCCTCCAGGATAAATACAAGATTTTGATTCTGGCTTACCGCAAAAAGTCGATTAAGGCTTTAGGGGCCGTCCATAAATGACGTCACGCACCTAGGGAGGGTCAAAAATCGTCAAAAATCGCGTGACGTCGTTTATGGACTGCCCCTTACGGAGAATATGTGCCTTGTCTTATATAGGTATATATATATACTTTGGAGAAGTGGTGCGGTGGTTAGCGCGTCCTGTATACCTAACCAGCGTGCCGGAAAATGTATTACCGCACCCAGCACACCTTGTTCAGTCTACCGCCTTTCACGACGGCTGTGCCCTCTATTGTCACCACCACCGCCACCACCACCGCCACCACCACCGCCACCGCCACCACCACTACCACCACCGCCACCACCACCGCCACCACCACCGCCACCACCACAACGCGCCTCTCCAGAGTCCTCGGCACGACGCGCGCGTGTGCCTCTCGCTCAACTCTGAACCCGGCGCGCAAATTCAGCTGTCAGCTACCACCAGCCGCGAGCATCTCAGCCACCCACCCCATCTACCCCGACACCCGGCCGCCTCCATCACCCCCCCCCCCCCCGAAACCAGAGGCGCAAACGCGCTGAGCTTTGCCGCAGTAGCGGTGACTGTGCCCGATTTCGGAACATTTTGGGGGGTGGGGAAAGGTGGCAACCGGGCCCAGCAATCACTCGGGAAGCGTCCGTCGAGTTGGAATGGCAAACGCTGCAGCTTGCACGGTGCGGGCTGCGTACCCTTCCAATAACTCACTCACCCCCATCTCATGGTCGACTCCCAACCCTGACCCACACACTCACCCCCATCTCATGCTCTACTCCCAACCCTGACCCACACACTCACCCCCATCTCATGCTCTACTCCCAACCCTAACCCACACACTCTACCTCCAACCCACCCACTCTACCCCTAACCCACTCTACCCCTAACCCACTCTACCCCTAACCCACCCATTCTACCCCTAACCCTAACCCACACACTCTACCCTAACCCACTCTACCCCTCACCCTAACCCACTGTACCCCTCACCCTAACCCACCCACTCTACCCATACTCGCCCACTCTACCCTAACCCACCCACTCTACCCCTAACCCACTCCACCCCCAACCCACCCACTCTACCCATAACCCTAACCCACTCACTCTACCCCCAACCCACCCACTCTACCCCTAACCCACCCATTCTACCCCCAACCCACCCACTCTACCCATAACCCTAACCCATCCACTCTACCCCCAACCCACCCACTCTACCCCTAACCCACTCTACCCCTAACCCACCCAATCTACCCCTAACCCTAACTCACTCCACCCCTAATCCACCCACTCTACCCCCAACCCTAACCCACTCACTCTACCCCTATCCCACTCTACCCCTAACCACCAACTCTACCCCTAACCGACTCCACCCCCAACCCACCCACTCTACCCCTAACCCTAACCCACTCCACCCCTAATCCACCCACTCTACCCCCAACCATAACCCACTCACTCTACCCCTATCCCACTCTACCCCTAACCACCAACTCTACCCCTAACCCACTCCACGGTCCACCCCTAACCCTAACCCACTCCACCTCTAACCCACTCTACCCCTAACCCCTAACCCACTCTACCCCCAACCCCTAAACCACTCTACCCCCAACCCCTAACCCACTCTACCCCTAACCCTAACCCACTCCACCCCTAACCCTAACCCACTCCACCCCTAACCCACTCTACCCCTAACCCACTCTACCCCCAACCCCTAACCCACTCTACCCCCAACCCCTAGCCCACTCTACCCCTAACCCTAACCCACTCCACCCCTAACCCACTCTACCCCTAACCCTAACCCACTCCACCCCTAACCCACTCTACCCCCAACCCTAACCCACTCCACCCCTAACCCACTCTACCCCTAACCCTAACCCACTCCATCCCTAACCCACTCTACCCCCAACCCTAACCCACTCCACCCCTAACCCACTCTACCCCTAACCCTAACCCACTCCATCCCTAACCCACTCTACCCCTAACCCACTCCACCCCAACCCTAACCCACTCCACTCCTAACCCTAACCCACTCCACCCCTAACCCACTCTACCCCTAACCCACTCTACCCCCAACCCCTAACCCACTCTACCCCCAACCCCTAGCCCACTCTACCCCTAACCCTAACCCACTCCATCCCTAACCCACTCTACCCCTAACCCTAACCCACTCCACCCCTAACCCACTCTACCCCCAACCCTAACCCACTCCACCCCTAACCCACTCTACCCCTAACCCTAACCCACTCCATCCCTAACCCACTCTACCCCCAACCCTAACCCACTCCACCCCTAACCCACTCTACCCCTAACCCTAACCCACTCCATCCCTAAACCCACTCTACCCCTAACCCACTCCACCCCAACCCTAACCCACTCCACTCCTAACCCACCCACTCTACCCCTAACCTCTTCTCTAGCTTCCTCCACGTAGCACAGCCCCAAACCTCAACAACTGCAGCAGCAGCAGCGGCGGCGTCAGCCCCATCACCCGCACACAATCCCCTTACCCCCCCATCCCCCGCTCTCTCTGCCACCCTCCCCACGAAGCGGACCTAGGGGAGCGCCGCAATTGCATGCCTGAGCGGAGAGAGCACGTGTCACGGACAGTCACGAGTCCCTGTTGCTCTATTAATGGGACGGACGAGGCGCTGGGAGGAGGAGGAGGGGGGTGGAGGTCACGCAAGGGTCAAACAGGACTGTCGGAATCCCTATGGGAGGCGGCTGCAAGCAAGCCTGTGTACGTGTGTGTGTACGTGTGTGTACGTGTGTACGTACGTGTATGTGTACGTGTGTACGTAGTGTGTGTACGTACGTCTGTGTGTACGTGTCTGTACGTGTGTGTACGCACGTGTACGTACGTGTGTGTGTACGTACGTGTGTACGTATGTGTGTGCGTGTGTGTACGTGTACGTGTGTCTGTACGTACGTGTGTGTGTACGTGTGTACGTACGTGTGTGTACGTGTGTGTGTACGTGTATACGTACGTGTGTGTGTACGTGTGTGTGTGTACGTGTGTGTGTGTACGTGTGT